GAAAATCGAAAATTTTAACACAAAAATAGTGTTTTTTTAACTACGGCAACCGTTTACATGCAGAAGATAAAGTGTCGGGACAAATTTTTTTTTTTCATTTTATAGTACATAAAATAAGCTTTAATTTGATATATGTTTAAAGGACGCAGTATTTCCGGAACATTTTCAAAAATTAAGTTGAAAAAGTTAGTTTTTGTAAAAAAGTTGCAATTTTAAATCCCCCCCCATGAGCAGGTTAAGTGTTAAATTTTCAAAAAAATTATATCAAATGAAAGGAAAATATCTAAGGTTTTAGTTTAAAAAAAAATTATGTTGATTTGTTGATTTTTGAAAAAGTTATGGAAGTTTTAAGAAAAAAAAGTGAAAAAAATGACAAAATTTGTCGATTTTTAAATTTGTAATTTTTTTGGATATTTCCCCCATTTGCGGGGAACGAGGGAAAATTTTTAAATTTTTAAGGGTAATGTCTTCAACTAGATACAATTTGTGATCTTTTGACGTATTGTTAAAAGAAATCGGTCCAGTGAGAGCTGAGAAAAAGTAGTGACAGACACAAAAAAAAAAAAAAATAAACACATCATGATAAAATTAATACCTTTTCAGCTTCGCATCGAAGCTAAAAAAATTGAAAAAATTTCGAAAATTAGCGATTTTTAAATTTGTAATTTTTTTGGAGTTTTCCCCCATTTAAGGGGAACGAGGGAAATTATTTCAATTTTTGAGGGTAATGTCTTAGATTAGATACGATTTGTGATCTTTTGACGTATTATTGAAATAAATGGGTTTGGTGAGAGCTGAGAAAAAGTGGTAACAGACACAAAAAAAAACACATCATAGTAAAATTAATACCTTCTCAGCTTCGCATCGAAGCTAAAATGTAATTTTAACGTAGTTTATGAATTCATAAATTAAAATGTTAAAAACATCAAAAGTTTTAAAAATTATGTTAGATCTGTTTCATTCTATATATTTAAATAAAATATTATATTAAATTGTATAGTAGGTAAAAAAAAATATTACTTAAAGCTAGTTCTCTTTTGCCATATGGTATTTTTGAATTTTCATTCACAATAATATTCATGAGATTAGACAAAAAATATTCCAATTGAAATTTTAATTCTTGTCTCATGGATTCAAATACCAAAAAAGCGAGTTTTAGACTAGAACTAAATATTGACATTTTTTCATATGACAATAACTAAAATAATTTTATTTTGTTATACACTTTTTGAAATTATATCATATTCAGAAAAAAAATTTTTTTTGGCCTCAAACTTACTGAAATCATATTACGACAAAGTTGATCTTTGATAAAAGAATGCAAATTTGTATGACTTCTTATAGCATGAGCTCCTACTTCAAAAGCAATTACCAACAAGTTTAGTCCTACTCCGATCATAACTTCTGTATTTTGTTGATCATGTGGATCACAAGCATCTACCAAAAACTTTAATAACTCTACAACACATCCAGTATTGTATGGCACTTCTATAAAAAATATATTATATAATTAAGGAATAATAAATATAATTGAATTAAATAGTTAAGTGATTTAAAGAGATTATAGTATATTACTTTTATAAATCATTGGGACTTGTGTTGTAAATCTTACTCCCTGGCCATTAATATATTCTTTATTGTTACTGGTTGCAGAAATTTCTTCTTTGTTTAAACTAGATAAGCCTTCTTTAAAATAAAAGTAGTTTAAAAGCATAGAACTTAGAAAACATTTTTTTTAATTTTTACCATCTTCAATAGTTGAATGATCATTATCTTGTGATTCAATAGTTAAGTCATTGACATTTTCACAGGTAGAATCAGTGATTTCTTCATTAAATGGAATATTATTCTTAAATCAATAGATAATTGGAGTAAAATTTTTAGTATATAACATTTTTTTGTTATTAATAATTACTTGTGGTAGTGATGAATTATCTGATTGTTTTACAATAATTTTATCAGTTGAGGGATTTTCATTAATTTTTCCATGTTCTTTTAATGAATCACCATAGCTCTTCATATTTAACCCTAATTTCTAGAAAAAATACAATATAACATAAATATAAATATAACATAAGATAGACAGTTCAAAAATTTTCACCTTACTGATTTTTGAACCAACATAAATTAAAAATATTAAATTTTAATCAAGGAAAGTTTTATTGTTAAAATTTCTTATGGTATTGTTGAAAGTTTATTAGTATTTAAATTGTATAGCATAATACATTTTATTTTTCTACTTTGTATTTTAAAACTTTGCTTTTTTTTTTAATTATGCCACCAGTCTTACTGATATGAGAAATATAACAGGAAATGACAATTTAATAGAATAAATAAAGGATGATTCTTTTAACGCTAGAGACTCAATTTCTCTTAAAATTATTAGTTTTTTGAATATTTTTTTTCTTATTTTATTAATATATAACTAATAAAAAAATAAATTCATATATAATGCATTTCCATTTATCAGTTATAAAATTATTTTTAGGTTCCTCCCTTATATCTTATAAGGGTGTGAACTTTATTTTTTTTTAATGTATATATTTCTTTCAACATACATATTAAAGTACTTATAAAATAGTAAATGACTGGTCAATAACAATTATTGCACTAGTAATTCGGAAGTTATAAACAATTTAAAGTAAAGACAGTGATGTGCCCAGGAATTTTAAACGGAGAGGGGTGTCATAACTAATAGGTATTAATACAACTAAATACATTTAATGGGGGTGAAAGAATTAGAAAAAGATTAATAAGGGGGCTTTAGAGGTCAAGCCTTATTAAAATATTTATTAATATTTTGTGTTCTGTATGATATGATGTAATGTTGTTATACAAATATAACTTATAAACAAATATAATGTAATAACTACAACTTTATTCAATTATTGCTATTAGGTACTAGATGCTAGAATAAAACGCAATGGGGAGGGATATGACCCCTAACCTCTCCCCCTGGGCTTGCCACTGTCTGGTCATACTTTTCTTCTAGCCAAAATATGAAAATGAGAATAACTTCCGAATTACTGGTCTAAGAGTTGTTACCAAACTGTTATCTACTATTTATAAGCTACTTTAATATGTATATTGCCATTTAAAAAAATAAAGTTCACACCCTTATATTCTATAAGGATGGAACCTGAAATCAATTTATAACAGATAAATGAAAATGCATGTATAATTAATAAAATAAAAAAACTAATTATTTTAAGGGAAATTAAGTGCTAGTATTAAAATGATCACCCTATATACATACTTTTAGAAAGAACAAATTATAGCTTACTATATAGTTTTTCATTTAATAATTAATTATTAATAGTTATAAATTTAAAAAATAAATACAATTTTTTAGTAAATTTATAATAGCTCACTTTTGGATAATTCCCCTGCTCTTTATCTAAAGTAACAAGCCTTAAAAAAAGTAGTTGTATAATATCTTTCAAACAGAATTCAGCATATGACCGAACAAATTCTATAATCACAATAAAATTTTATTTAATATTATAACAAATTTATCAAAGTAAGTACGCACCACCAAGCCTAACTTCAAAACAGAATCTAAAACAACGCATCATTATTTCACAGACACTTTCATTAGGAAGGTATTCTCCTTCTGGGGACATTATTAAGCAATACAAAATCTGTAAAGTTTTCATTAATACAATAGCATCACTAGTTTTGTCAGTTCCAATAAATCTTGTATGTGTAATAGCACTTGCTATGTTTTCAACAGTCACCAATAATTTTTCTTCTGGAATACCTAATTAACAAATTTTATCATTTCAATTTTATATATATATTTTTTATGTAATGTTGATAGCCAAGTAAGAAACATACATTGTTTAATTAAACCATACTTGACAAATTTATAAATAGACATTAATGCCAAGCTAGTAACAGGTCCTGTGATTTCTTCACATCGGATGACTTCCAGAAATGGTTCTAAAATATTAAATTATAATATTTAATTTAAATTAAATTCATTTTATAAAATAAAAAAATATATTACCTATCACATTATCAAAATTAAGTGACATTAAATCTTCCACTTGGTTCATGGCATCACGTAGCTTAAACAACCTTTTACAAGGGGCATACCTTTCTTCATCCTAATAAATATTTACTAATATTACATATGAACTTATAAGTGTATTTATACATGAAAATTTTAAAATGGGATACATACTTTTTTTAAAAAGTTATAAAAATTAATACAATTGTTTTTAATAAAAAAAAGACAAAGAAAATATATACTTAATTTAAAAAATAAAATAGTTGAACTAGTGTTTGAATAAAATTAACTCACTTGATAAGAATTAAGGTCTCTTTTTAAAGCTGAAATTAATGTTAACAGCTCCCCTTGTACTATATATAAGCCATTGGCAGCAAACATTTTCTCGAAAACAATATTCAAATTAATTAAAAATAAGCTCGAGAACAAATAAAAATGGATAAGAAAAAATATATTGAATTATAAAGATCATAAACTAAAATACCCATTATTCTATTAAGAATGTATTGTAATTAAAAGTCCTACTGATAATTTTTTTATTAGTAGTGTTGGATTCCATACTCGAGAAGAATATTCCATTTAAAACTTTGTTAGACAGTATGCATATAGCATAATATTTAATTAAATATTTACAATATACTTTGATTATATGATTAATTGGAAAAATAATATTTGTAAGAATAGAATAATAATATTTTGTTTAATTAAATTAATAATTTAATTGAATGTAACTCTTAAATTATGACTAAATTGCTATTTTGGGTACAAGATAAAAATATAAAATGATAACACGTCATTAAGATAACACGTAGTAAAACGGGGAACATTTAATAATACTAAAATGAACTGATAGTGTCATTGTTATAGCCAGTGAGTACACCGAATATACAAATATACGAAACTATTTAAGTACTGTAGTCACTATTTTAGTTAATATAGCCTCAGTTGGCAATTTAAATACAAATTAAGGACTTATTTAATAAACAAATTCGCCAATCGGCTAATTTGTACAAAGTGATCAATTTAAGATAAGACACTGATTTTCTTAAAAATTTTTAATGTTTGTAAAAAAAAAAATTGTGTTTTTTAAAAAACTCAAAAATAGTATTTAGTTTCTTTAGGATTAAAAAACATAAACTATGTTTAGTTTAATGATGATATAAATTCATATAATTTTATTCTTTCAATATTTTTATTCAATAAATACTTGTTAATATTTAGTTATTTTTAACCATTTTCTATAGATAATTTGATGTATAGTATACATTATTTATTATGTCTTCATGCTGTCACATAAACAAGTTGTTATTGACAATTCTTGTTACTACCATATCTATCACTTACAATAGGAATAATAAATACTGATAATAATTTATGGCCCATTGAAAAAGATTATTATTGTCTTTGGTTTTATAAAATCCATATATTATTATATAATTGAAAAAATAACTCTACGATGTCCGATTTTCAAAATTTATGAATATTTTTATAAATAAAAATAAACATACAAACAATTATTTTATTTCAATAAAAACTGTTTGTTACTATAAATAAATGCACTGAACTACAAGGAACTTTCATCAGTAACAAAAATATACCATTCTAAATTAACTTTTCGCGATGTTTTCAAATCTGCAATTAGACTTTTTCTATCATTTCTAAGTTTTAATATTATTAAAAATTAGTATTTACATATAAAAAATTGGCTATTTAAGCTAACTCAAAAACAGTTTTTATTGAAATTTATTGTATCAAACCCTTTAAATTTTTATACACATAAAAATAAAGCAAAATACAATTTCTTTATTATTTTTATAATTTCTCCGTTTAAATTACAATATTAAATTATTGAATATCAATTTCATACTAAATTTAATAATTATAATTAGTATTTATTTATAAATTATGTTTTAAAATCAAAGAACTACTAATTAGGATATAATCAAAGAAATAAGAGTTGATGTTGCTTTTGGAATAATCCACCAATTTCTCTAAATGAAACACTATCATCTACAGATTTGCATCGAAGCGTTTCTTATGATAGTGATTTTAATCACTGTCAAATATCATCTATACTTGTCCCATCTATGCCTTGTCTACACTGTGCCTCGACCCCACTGTTCTACCGTTTTTTTAATTTCAAAATAGTCATATTTTAAAATTTCAAAAAATAAAAATATAATTTATATTTTTTTTATTATTAAAAATAAATTATAATAAATATCCTATCTCCTTTTGCACTTCTGCCATACTTTGAATTGTTTTTTCCTATTCTTTATGATTTTCTGAAAGTTTTCATCCTACCGCTAGGTTTCCAGGCATTTAGCTCTTTACTCATCAACAATCTCCTTTGTAATATTCAGTGAAGCCCAGTAATCTCTGTTTTCTAAATTAAAAATAAATAAATAATGCATAATAAGTATTATAGTCGGTGCCTATCATACGACTCACGACGTACTTAGAGCGGTTAATAACCACTCATAGAGCGTAAAGCATTCATATACTCGAAGCCATAAAAGATAGATCATATTATCAATTTTAATTTTCTTATCTTTCACTGTATTTCTATTCATTTTTTACCAGTTTATTTGTGAATAGCCAAACCACTCTAAATCTTACAATTTTGTTTACTTATTCTAAGGTATGTATATTACAAAATTAATTTTGAAAATATTACTTTTGCTCAATATTACAATTTTACTAATTTACCTATCAAGATTATGTATGCACGTTTATTATATTACTGTACTTATCGAAATAAGTACTGTAATGGTATTACTTTATGTCTTATTAAAATTATACAATTTTTATATAATTATGTGTATTGCAATGGGTTAAGTAAACTATGATAAATATTTGAAAATACAATATTTTTTAGTTGTGATTTTACATTATCTTGGTGTCCAATAAGTTATCAAATACTTTTGGAATAGGTTAATTTTACTTAAATTAATTGAAAATTTATAATTTATTTTCTAAAAATAGCTCTTTTAGATAGACGAAGTAATTGGGAAATTTTTTTCTGTTTAAAATAGAATAATTAACAAGCATTTATAAAATTTTATTTTTTTTAAAGGAGTGATAAATACATATATATATATATAAAAACTATTTTAACTCGTAAGAATACCAAAAATGTATAACACTCTTCTTATGTGACCTCAAAAATAACTTTATGTACAAACATTGTTTCAGATTTATAATATTATAATAATAAATTTATGAGACATAGTTTTAGTAAACTAAAAACTATAACTATGAGACATAGAATGCAATGTGTACAAGTGATATTTTTACTGAAATTTATTAAGATAAATTAAAAGTTCAATTTGGTAGTAAATATATTTTTTTTATACAATATTTATGGAAAACAACTTTGAACTCCATTATTTTAATATTAAAAAAAGTCTCTTTTATATTTTAGGCATCTCATATATAAAAGATAAACATAAAGGTTGTTTTTAAGCGAAAGTCAGTAGGGCTTATATTCTGGGTTCCATTTTTTTTTATTAAATTAGAGCTTTGCATAAAAAAAAAAAATAATGTAGATAGTATCAAAATTAATATTACTCTGAGTTTTGCAATTTTAAGAATGACTTAGTAAAAATTACCAAAAGCCTTGGATAATTTCAAAACGAATGTAATTATTCATAAAAATTTTTGCATATTTTAACCAATTTTTCAATAATTTGTGACGTGCATCATATCACATGTAGTTCAAATAAATAATTAGATTGTGATAATTTTTTCACATATTTACTCTTATTTTATAATTAGAAGAAGAAACCTGAATATTATAAAAGTTAAGCATTGGGAAATTGATATTAATAGTTTTTGTTTCATAGCTGAATATATTAAAACTGGTAATTAACTTATAGTGAAGTTAAAGATTATTAATTTGAAATATTTATGATATAGAATTGTTAATTTAAAAAAGAGGGTTCAAATAAATAAAGAGTTAAATAATGGCTGCTGAACAATTTGTTAAAGATGCTATTGCTCATGATCAAATTGTCATATTCTCCAAGCTTTCCTGTGGATATTGTAGCATGACAAAAGAAGTAAATTTTTTTAAAAGTTAATTTTTTTAAATGTTTTTAATGGTAAATTAATTTAAAATAGATTTTTACTAAGTTGAAAGCTACATTTAAGGCAATTGAGCTAGATGAAAGAGAAGATATGGATGCTATTCAAGATGCTTTGCAAGAAATTACTGGTGCTCGCTCAGTAAGTTAAAAATATAATATTCTTATAATTTAATTTAAAAATTAAATACTTGCAAAGATAAACAAGTTAATAGAAATAATTATATTATGTAGAATACTAATAATGTTGATAGGTTAAAAATTAAAAGTTAACAAATTATAGATTTAAATAGTTAAGTTAAAAATTAAAACAAAAAATATTATTAACTTAACTCAGTGTAAAAAGTTTATTTACTATTAAGATCAGTTTGAGAATTACATAAATTGTGATATTTTTTCTTTCTGATTCTTTAATTTATGAGTAACAACTATAGAAGCATAATCCACAAGTTGACAAATTACTCTCTGAAAAAAACTTAAGAATTTTTATATAATTATATTATTCAGAGTGGGAAAAAATTCAAATTAGATCAGTTTCATTTTAACACCTATGATTAATTTTGGGTTTTAATCTAAAGTGTACTTTTTGGCAAACACGTACTTTATTTGAGAATTATTCTCAAATTTGATAGCAAGTTAATTACATTTATCACATAAAATTATGTGAGTAATTAATAAATTGGATCAATGTTATTCATATTTTATGTTACTTTTCTTAATATAATAGTTTTTAATCAAGAAACATAAATCACCGGTCTTGTTGATTTATGTTTCTTAGTCTTAATTAGGTTATTTTAATTTATATGTAGCCAAACATTTTCTGACATTAATTTTAATTTGATGATTACTCAAAGTATTTTATTTATTGATTATAGGTTCCCAGAGTGTTTATAAATGGTAAATTTATTGGAGGAGGATCAGATGTTAAGAAGTTAAATTCTAATGGAGAGTTAGCAAAACTCATCAACTAACAAAATGAACTACCTAATCAAATAAAGTTTATCAAAAATATTAACATAAATTACTTAAACTTTTATGGTTTCTTTTTATTTCTTATAGTTTCCTTTTACAATATAATTGTTGATTTAAATTCAAAGAAATTGCATTTGTTGTGTACTTTTTTGCACATTTAATATATAAAATATTGAATTGTCACACAAAGCACTCTAATTATAATTACATAAAATTAATGAAATAATAAGGTTATTAATTAAAACTTTAGTTTGAATAGATAATATCCAATAATTTCCAATATAAGGCAATGTAATCTTAATCAATAAAAAAAATTAAACTATATTTTGAGTTTCTCCATCAACTGTTGGCGGTGCATCATTATGTATAGCAGCTAACATTGATTCAATATCTAAGTCTCCAGATTTATTTTCTTCACTTCCAATTGTAGCTATCTCTTCATCTACTCCTTTTTGTTCATTTGTTGAATTTTCTTGATCAACTTGCATAGGTTCCTCTCCTTTCTCAGGTATTTGTCCACCTTCTTCTGCCTGTTCATTATTTTCAGTAGGCATTGGCGTTTCAGCTGGGACATTATCATTTAACAACATATCAGTGTCAACAGCTCCTTTTTCTTGTCCTTCAGTGATACTTGTTGGTGTATCAGATTTTTCTTCAGTAGTTTCAGGTTTGATTGTTTTATTTGCAGGTTCAGATTGATTTTCTTCGGATTTTTGCTAAATAATTTTAAAACATTTAAGTGCTTATAAATAAAATAGCTTTTAAAAATTAAAATAAATAATTCTACATTCTAATGAACACTAATAACAAAAATATTAAAAATAAAACATAAATAGGTAAAAAATTTATTGAGTGCTCAGAAAAAAAAATTTGTCTATACTTCATTCGAAGGAGGAGCAGCTGCTTGTTGATTATGATCTTTTTGAATATGTTCAAGACAACTTACTCTACTATCAAAAGATGTAGAGCAAACCTGGCATCTGTATAATCGCTTCTTTTGTTGAGTCGCCTATATAATTGAAGAGATTCTATGTGTATATAATTTTACTCAACATTTTAATTTTAAGCGTTTATTACTTACAGGAGTTAATGTTTTATTAACATTTTGGTTTGCTTTATCTCCATCTCCTTTTTTATTCATGTGAGTGCGCATGTGAAATCTAATATTTTTACAAAATATTTTATTCATACTAATAAAAAAATTTAATTTAAATTACAAACCTAACATGTCCAAGTTCTTTGGATTGAAATGAGCAGAAACCACATTTATAAATCTTCATTTTGGATGCACTATCAGACTGTTGAGTTTTCAACATTTTTAATGGAGTGCTTACTGAATTATCCCTAATTGTTAATCCACTAGGGACTTTTCTTTGACCAATTTCCAACTCGTCGGTTTTTAAATGACCATTAACAATCTAAATAAAACATTTTAAAGTAATTTCAAGTTAAAATAAATACTAAAATTATAATGCAAAGTTAATAAACATACGTCAAGTGCCTTAACTGGTTGATCAGGAGGTAAAATACCATACTTTTTTTGAATATATGACAACATAGCATTTTTTACTAATTTCAGATCATTTTCAAGTTTATCCATGTGAGTTAAAAGTGATGTGCAACGCTTACACATATGATCAGCTGGAGTTACAATTACTACAAATTCTTCTCCCATAAGTTCTGCTATTTTTTCTGGGTAAGGTACATTACTATGTGGTGTGATGCTGGAGCATACACGTGTTCGTTCACCATATAATTTTGAGTCACACAAAAAACAAACTCCCATTTTGACTAAAAAAAGTTATTAAACAAATTTAATTTCAAAAATTGGATTCTACAGGTTCGTTAATAAATTTGAACTGTTTAAAATGCAAATATATGTAAAGTGTAAATGCAATATGCAAAAAAAACTTAAAAATTATTTAAAAAATAATAAACTATTATGAAATATTTAAAGTTAAATTAATTTGATAAACTTAATGAATACCAAAGAACTTAGAAAAAAATTTCAATTTCAATTATGATTTACAAGATTAATAATTTTTTGTTCTAAAATCATAGAATGATCAAATACTATATTGTCAGTGTAGGATCAGAAGAATATATATTTAAAAAAAATGTCATCTAATTTTGTTTCTTAACCATTTAACTTTGGAGGTATTTTAAATAGTTATAACTTCTAACAGTAAGATTTTTATTTTTGTAGCAATCAATTCTACTTAATAAATATTTTAGTTAAGAAAAAATAAATTTTTTGGGTTATACGTTTCACTAATTCTATACCATGAAAATATAGCATCCTAAAATGATCAAATAGTAATTATTCTTTTTAAGTATTGAATAATAAGAAATAAACTTACTGTTTTCCTTCTAGCAGTTAAAAATGTAGATATCTATTATGATAACCAACTTGAATTAAGTTTATACCACAAAATGTAATGTTAAAACAAATGTTTATTAAGCAATATTAAATAAATAAAAAATCTCAAAACACATAGATCACAAGATGTAATCATAATACGTTTACAAATTAAACCGCATCAGGAACTTTATTGAGAAAAATCAGCCAACGAACCAGGTTGTTATTCCGAAATACAAACATACCACTAACCATGTATTCAGTAGTAACACAAACAAATTTATTATCAGAAATGACAGTTTTTATTTTGTTGGCCACCATGTAGTTTTATCTAATTTTTTATTTGTGTGATTGTATTTTGATAACAATAAAAACATGCTTCGACAATGTACGTATTGCTTTTACTTACACCTTGCATAAGTATGTAATTATCCAAGTTGGAAGTAATTAAAAGTTTTTCAAGATTAATATTGATATCAAGATATTAAGATAAATTTCAAATTTAATTACCCAGTTTATTTGTTGAATAATCTTTCAAAATGGATTATGCACCAACTACAGTGTCGTCGACTGTTGCCAAAATGTTAGTGTTTTGTATTTTAAAATTAATGTGTCTGTCATCGGTCAATAAAATTGTTGAATTTTCAGATTATGTTGTCAATGTGGTGTGGCCATGGAGCCAAATCCAGCTAATATGTGTGTATCATGTCTACGTACTCATGTAGATATTACACAGGATATACCTAAACAAGGAACTTTGATGTTTTGTCGTAACTGTGAACGGTATTTACAACCTCCTTTTGAATGGATATCTTGTGCTTTAGAATCTAAAGAACTCTTAGGCTTATGTCTCCGAAAACTCAAAGCATTGAATAAAGTTAAACTAGTTGATGCAGGATTTATATGGACTGAACCACATTCAAAACGTATCAAAGTAAAACTTACTGTTCATGGTGAAGTAATGAGTGGTATGACACTACAACAAGTTTTTGTAGTAGAGTTTACTGTTGCAAATCAAATGTGTGATGATTGTCATAGGTCGGAAGCTCAGGATTATTGGCGTGCTCTGGTAAATTTAGATACATACATTTTTTATCTTAGTCCTTTAAAAATGTTTATAAATTAAAACATTATTCAAATTAGGTTCAAGTTAGACAGAAAAGTGATAATAAAAAAACCTTTTATTATTTAGAACAATTAATGTTAAAACACAAAGCTCATCAAAACACTTTATCAATAAAACCAGAAACAAGTAAGACAGTATTTTTTATCATTTTTGTATATAAATATATATCAATTACTATAATTGAAGAAATTTTAAGAAATTTTAAATAATTTATTTAATGTCTTATAAAGTTAAAATCAAATGTTTTCATAATGAATTTATTTAATTTCTCTATTTCTTAAAATTATTATTAATTAATTAAGATTTTAATATTACTGTTAAATATAAATATTAACTTGTAAAATTTAGTAATGCATTTTAATTTTTATGTGGGTAGATGGTTTGGACTTTTTTTATTCTACTGAATCACAAGCACGTAAACTTGTAGATTTCATGACTGCTGTTTTGCCATGTCGAAATCAACATTCAAAAAAATTGTTATCGCATGATATTCATAGTAATGTTTATAATTACAAGTTTACTTATAGGTAATAATAAAACTTTTTTTCATGATTTAATAAAATATGTTCATTATATGTATAACTAATATTTGAAAAATATTTTTAGTGTTGAAATTGTCCCAATTATGAAAGATAGTGTTGTTTGTTTATCAAAGAAAATGAGTCAGCAATTGGGAGGAATTAACCAATTGTGCGTTGTTTATAGAGTTACAAATTCAATCAAATTGATTGATCCTTCAACAGCTCAATGTAAAATTTTTTTTAAGTATGGTAATCTTTATATTTATAAGAATTTTTTTTTAGTGGCTGAAGTTAGTAGTATTGCTTATTGGCGAGATAGTTTTCAATGTATATTTAAAAGTAAACAGTTAACAGAGTACACTGTGATGGACATTGAACCAATTATGGATAAAGATAGAGTGTTGTTCCCAGGACAAGGACAAATTTCATACAAAGTAAGTGAAGTATAAAATTAAAAGTAAATGAATGTGTTGCTAAAAATTTTAAATGTTATTATTAAACAGAAAAATTCAAAACGTTTTAATTGTTATTATTTTAGGGGATCTTAGTATGAAAATATAATTGTTTATATCTGTTTATAGCATATGTTAGCTGATGTATGGGTTGTGAGATCATCTGATCTTGGTATGACAACAAATGCTATACATTGTAGAACTCATTTAGGACATTTACTAAAGCCAATGGATTCTGTTTTGGGTTATGCCATCGCTGATAGTAATGTAAATGATTCCAATTTTGATAAATTACCTAAAAACTCTTTACCTGATGTTATACTTATCAAAAAATGTTATCCTGATCGTCCTCGACATAGAAAACGTAATTGGAAACTAAAACGTATGACAACTGATAATGAAATGAATTTTGAAAGTGATGATAAGTGAGTTTCTTCAAATTGTATTTAAAATGAATTGTAATTAATGATGGTTATCATAATATTTTAGTGATATGGATGAATTCATGGATGATTTAGAGGAAGATAAAGATTTAAGACAAAATGTTAATATTTATAAGAATACTGATGCCCAAGAAACAGCTACAACTGATGATGTGGATCCAGATGTACCACGCATAAGTCTTGAAGAGATGATGGAAGATTTATACATTTATGAAGATGATGTTATGGAAGTCTATGAATAAAATATTTGTTTTATATTATTGTTAAAGATTAATAATAAATATTTAAATAGTTAAATAACTTAAAAATAAATATTAATAATATGTATTCATTAAATAACAAATAAAAATAAGAGGCTAGGACCTAATAGTACTGAATAAAATATAATCTAAACAATATAGAACAACAACTAAATATTAATAGTGTAAATATGACAAATTTATGATGTTTTAAAATAAAGTTGACCGTGTAAGAATAACTTAATATGGAAATTCATCTTACACTTTATAGTAATTGATTGATTAAAAGAGAATTAGTTTTCAAAATATAATTAAATATTTCTTAATTTTGTTTTTAAACAATTAAGTCAATTTAAATTTGAATTGATTTCTTTTAAAAATCAACATGAAAGTATCAAATATTTTATTTATTTAAATTGAATTTATGCAGCTGTTGTATTTAGTACTATTTTAACTAATATAATGTATAGAATTATTTATATACAATTTTTACAGATAGCAACAAAAAAAAGTACATAGATCAGTAAAAAATAAACTATGTAATTTTCTGAAAAAATTCAGTTAATAAATTTTTTCTTTGTTTTATTATATAATGATGTATGACATGTATTGGTATATAAATATTTATTTTTCATTAAAATTTGATGAATTTCAAATGTTTGTAAAGGCTAAGGCTATGATCCGATTTCAGATTTTTAGCGCTTCCTTGACTCGTATAGATTATTGTGAATGAAGTTGCAAATCGAAAAAATTGATTTTATTGGAGTTTATACTTTTTCTATTTTAGCACCTCAATTATTGATAGTTTGATAATAGTTAAGAAAATAATAAATAAAACACATTTATAATATTCAAAATTTTATTTACATGAAATTGAGATAAGTATTTCTTATTGTATAATTTAACAAAATGTATACTAAATGATGAAATGCTGAATTTTGTTATAATAAGTATACAAAATGAGTATTTTTTTTTTTTAATAGCACACCCCTATATAATGATTATTTTTATATAAATACAAATATAATAACTTGTTAGAATAATAGATATACACCAAAACAAGTAATTCTCAAGATTATATACTAAATTTTATAAATAAGTTTCTTCAAAAGACTATCAAGGTGAACCTATCTTATATTTGTGCCTAAAAACCAATAAGTGGTCAAACAAAAATAAGATAATGAATAAATGTACAAACATTTTATTGTATAAGTAATTAATGAAATGCTAGAAATTTAACTCAAAAACAATATTCACAATGAGTAAAATGGTAGATATACCAAATTGAACTATAACAATAATTTTTGTTAATAAATTAACATTTTTTATAATTGAATCATAAAAAATAATCTTTTAAAATTTAAAAAATTTAACAATATATACTTTTTTGACTAGTAAAAACACATTGCAATATCATGATATAACAATATCATTATGTTACACATTTTTATGCCTTATTAGTATATACCTAGTTCAAAAGATAAAAAGTAAATATTTATATTTCTGAAAGTAAAAAAAAATTAAGTTAGATATAACTACAGTTAAATTAAAGTTTTAAATGAATAATTTTTAGGTTTATAAGAAATTTTGATTAATAATATACTTTAAAATTAACAATAAAGAAATTTTAAATAACAATATAAATAATTAAAATTAAAAACTTTAAACAAAAAAACATTATATGTCAAAATAAGTTGTTTGAACTTAATTTTTGAAATTACAATTTTCAAATTTACTAAATTATGAAGAAAATAAAATGAAGGAACAAATTTTAAGAATGTAGGAACCTATATAACTCAATACACTGATTATTTTAAGATTGGTTAACTTTTAGAAAAATATACATTGTAATTATAATGTATATAAAATAGTAATCAATAAGAGTCAAATTTTTCAAAAAAATTTAAATAACTAAACTGATATTATTATAAATACTTATAATAAGGCTCCAGTCTATTTCTACAAAAAAAAAAAAAAAAAAAATGCCAAGAATTAGTACTATTAAAAATTGAATTTTCAGACTAAATTTATTGCATATACATATAGCTCAGACTTCAAAAAGATTCAACACACTACATCAACATTAGGTCTTTGAGCTTTATATCTCTCAATTTCTTCTGATGAACAAGAAGTACCCGTGACATCTAGAGCCTCTATGTAAGGACATGATTTTGCTGCAGATTTTAAAAATGCATCAGTTACTTTAGGGTAATTACGTACAATTAATTTTTTCAACTTGCTTTTGTCAATTTGATCGATTCTGTAAAATTGTAGAATATTTTATTAATACAAAATTATTTTATTCTCTGCCATTAGAAATATCAAAAATTACACACAAAATCCTGTCAATAAATATGTTGAATTAAAAATTAATTTACCTTTCATGAACCCTTCTTAAATTGACTTCACCTCCACCAATTAATATTCGAATATATCTGTTGTGAAAACTGTACAAATCATTGCAAAATCTAGAAAGACCAAGATCACTTATAGTAGCATCACTGTTATGGTCTGTATCAGGAGGACTTTCAAGAAAAACATTTTTTAATTCTTTCAATCTTTGAAAACAAACCAACTCATGATCACTAATAGGAGTTAATCGAAGATCTAATGTCTGGAAAATACAAATTTGAGTATAGATAATATAAATTTAAAGATTAAAATTAAAGCATTATTTAAAAAGATATATATAATTTTTCAAACATTTTATTTATAATCTATAACAAAGTATTAATTAAAATCATAAAACATTAATTGTACAATAAATCTAAATATTATAACATACTTGTAAATATTTGAAACCAGTAATAGTAGTAATGCTGGCATAAGGAATACAGTCTTTAAATTGTTTACAACCTTTAAGACTTAAATACTTGAGTTTCTCTAATTTAGCTAATGCATATAAGCAAGGTGGCATGAACCAATCATTATATTGCATTTTAACAATCTAAAAAGAATAATATCTTTAAAATAAATTCATTAGGTTTAAAATTAAAAATAAATAAATTTTTAAAATGGCTCAATAAGATACAGTGGCATAATTAATACTTTATGGTAAGAGGCTCAACCTTTAATTTTCAATTAGATATGAAAAATATTTTTAGTAATATTAAAATTTGATAATAATTTATTTTTACTTTCAGACTATAAAAACAAGTATGAAAAGTAGTAGCAAATAAATAGATAAGTGGATACAATTTTTTCTTTTTAATAATGTATAAAAATAATATGTCCATAAACAAATATAGCAAATAAAAAAAAAAAAAAATTGAATACTATTTTTAGTTTTAAACACAACTTTATAATAAGAAAGTAAAGCAGAGATGAAAATGCTTGGATGGATGAGTGGAGTCACTAGAAAAGATAGAATAAGGAACGAGCATATAAGAGGGAGTATAGGTGTAGAGTCAATCGAGGATAAGATGAGAGAAAATAGACTTAGATGGTTTGGTCATGTTACGAGGAGAGAAGAAATGGAAGCTGTAAGAACAGCTGTAGAAATTAATGTTGAAGGAAGAAGAGGTAGAGGAAGACCAAAAAAGAGATGGAGAGATGTTATTGAATGCAATATGAGGACAGCTGATGTGAGCATAGAGGATGTGGGAGATCATGTCAAATGGAAGTTTAGGCTAAGGGTGGTCGACCCTAAGTAGTTGGGATTAAGGCGATGAAGAAGAAGAAGAAGAGTTGATAGTGATGAGCAAAAAGTATCAATTAACTTAAGAATATTATACCATTTTCAGAATATTGCTATAACCCTAGCAGTTAAAATCATTATATCTGTAATGTAGTGTTTTGTATGGTTGACAAGAACATTTTTTTAGAAATTATTATTTTATTTATCATATAAAATAACAAATATCCATTAGCAAAAAAAGATCACTTGGGGATGATGTTGGTAATGATGATGATTACTCCTCCCCGTGCATATATGATATGATATGGTAGGTAATTTTATAAATACTCATAAATTGTATATAACAAAGTAATAAATAATAATAAAACAAAATAATTCTTACTTCTAAGTTGGGACAAAAATTATTTAATCCACATAAATATGAAGTATTTTCTGGAATGTTTTCTACAATTGAATCTTTGATTTTTAAAGTTTTAAGACCACGATGAAACATTTTAATATTTATCTGAAAATATACTCAAAATTATACATGATTAATAAATAAAAGTTTTATAAACAAATATAATATTTATATTTACCTCACTGGCATTTAATTTTTGCCTATGCAAGCTTAAACTATTCAACTCTGGGCATTTCTGTTCAAGTTGTGATAAAAACCTATATGAAATGGAAGTATTGTATTGTGGATTGTCTACACCTTTTATAATTAGGTTTGTAGTACATTCTTTTAAATAACTTAGATAAACATCTTCCATAGATTTTTCATATTTAGCAAAATACACATTTTTCCAAAGGGTCCAGTCTTTACTAATACGTGATAAAGAGGAGCAAACCCTATAATATTCAGTTAGAACAGAAATTATTAATTAAAATAGATTAGTGTATTCAAATAAATGGAACTTACAATGACATATTGGCAAGATTGTCATGTGAAAGGAACTTAAATATATGCATGATTACATCATCACATAAATCTGTGAGATTTATTGTAGATGAATTTTTAGAACATAATATTCCATGTTTCAGTTTTAATTTTTTAGTATTTTCTTCGCCATGATCATCATTGTCAATTGAACGTTTACTATTGCCCTCCATATTGATTGATGGAAAATTATTTACTATGACTTTTCCTTTATTTTTAATTTAATATAAACTCTGACTATTAATATTGCTAAAAATTGGCAAGTATCCTTACAGACTAAAAACATTCATTAATAGCATTAACTAAACAAGTTTACTAAACTCATATACTACAAAAAAAAAAAATATATCCTTGTTAAAGAATAAAATTGAATAACTAACAATGAAAAAAACTACAGAAGATTTATTAATTTTTTTTTATATATATATTATATTGGAAAAGCCATAGAACAGTTTTAATAGTAATAAAAATTATGAATACATTTTAATGGAAATTAATAATAAATAATAAATATTTTCAATAATCACAAAGAAAATTGATAACTCTCAATGATAATAGAACAGTGTCGCTAAATAAAAAACAAAATACTATTTAATAGATATCAGTGCTACACAATACCGGTTTTCTATGATAAAGATGTTTTAATTGTTATGATCAAGATTTTTTTTAACGATCTACCTTTAGTAAATGAGAGTAAATCTTTAATAATTCATTTCAAATCAATATATTACTTAACTTTAATTGAGATCTGATTGCCGACTTTGTATTCCTGTTGGATATTTCGGTGTTTTTTGACATAAAACATGGTAATATAATTATTAGATTTCATCATGTTGTAGTAACTTTCATTTGTTAATTGAAGAGTTTGCTACAAAAAGGAGGTAGTTCCATTATGTGCATTAAGAGTTAAACATCTAATGTATTAAAAAAAAAATCTTTATTTTATTACCATAAAAAAATTATCAACAGATATTTGTGTAATTAGTTTTGAAAGTAAAATTATGAAGACCATGTAGTTTTATATGAAAACCAAATTTTTGTTTAAGATTTTTTAAAAATTCGAAAATATAGGGCTACTTCTTTTTTAAAGTAAACCATTCAATTGATGAATAAGCTTCATTAAACTGTAAACTAAAAGAAAATAAATATGTTTTGCCTAGAAATTAAATAATAGTCAACAAGTATCAATGTATAATTATTTTTATGTATTTTAAAAATATTGATTACACAATGGGATCCAAGAATTTTTCTTTTAAAATTATTTGAATATATATTTACTTATAAAATTTTAATCTGATAAACTTACTTTTTATTGGCTAATTTATAGTAGTTTCAATGTTCATTTAATTTTTAATGTAGTTAATCAGGACTGCAATGTGCTATAATATAACAATAGGAAAATTACATTTTCACTATACAAATTTTATTCAAAAAAACTATTAAATTGTTCACAATTTATATTTTTGATACTTCTTTCTATTATTGATTAATTTCTATTTTGATTATAAAATTAATACAAATATTAACTCTTAATTTTATATTTATAGTTGTTTTACTCATTTTTCAAATCTCTTGTTGGGAAGGATGTTGTAGTTGAACTGAAAAATGATTTAAGGTTTGTTAGTAACTTATATTGTTGTATACCATCTTTGATAAAAATATTTAATTTTATAGTATTTGTGGAACACTGCATTCAGTCGATCAATATTTAAATATAAAATTAGTTGATATTAGTGTCACTGATCCAGAAAAATATCCTCATATGGTAAATATATAAATAAAGTGAACAGTTTATCATAAACCACTCAATAACTCTTAAAATAATTACAATATTGAAAAAAAAATTGTTTTATTTTTTTAAATTACATATACAGGGTGTTCAGTAAGTCAGGAAACGGGTATCTATTGTTCTCATTGTTACAAACAATGAGAACAATAAAAACCAGTTTCCTGACTTACTGAATACTCTGTATATCTTGATTTATTAGCTATTAATTACTTTTTAGGATCATCCCTTATAATGTATATAGGGATGTCAAATTAGTTTTTTAAATGGAAGCATACATTATTAATTATATTATAAAATAGGAAATTATCTAATAAAGAAAATGATTGGTCAATAACAACTTTTGGACCAATATCTCAGAAGTTATTAACTGTTTAAGTTATGACTAGAAGTAAAGAGTGGGTGCTGCTATTTTTATCACTAGTTATTTTCCATTGGTACTCTTTGCCCTGCATGGTATAAAAATGAGAATAACATCTAGAGTTGAAGGATTTTTACTAGTTGATTCATTAGTAAAGGCATTGACATTTTCACAGGTAGAATCAGTGGTTTCTTCATTAAATGGAATATTATTCTTAAATCAAAAAATAGTTGGAGTTAAATTTTTAGTATATACAATTTTTTTGTTATTAATAATTACTTGTGGTAGTGATGAATTATCTGATTGTTTGACAATGATTTTATCAGTTGAGGAATTTTCATTAGATTTCCCATGTTTTTTTAATGAATCACCATAGCTCTTCATATTAACCCTAATTTCTAGAAAAAATATAAAATAAGATAGAGAGTTCAAAATTTTTCACCTTACTGATTTCATCTTCTTTGCCTTAACCCCAACTACTTGGGGTCGGCCACCCTTATCCTAAACTTCCACTTGACAAAATCGCCTAAGTTTTATTCATGATACCTCATACTATTTGACAAAAATTTTATATTGGCTGTCTACCTGATGCAACCTCATTAATAGCCTCTTACGACTAGCAGAGAGGCAGTGGAAGTATTCTTATCCCCTAACCACAGGAAAGATTTTTGAACCAACATAAATTAAAAATATTAAATTTTAATCCAGGAAAGTTTTATTGTTAAAATTTCTGATGGTATTGTTGAAAGTTTATTAGTATTTAAATTGTATAGCATAATACATTTTATTTTTCTACTTTGTATTTTAAAGCTTTGCTTTTTCTTTTAATTATGCCACCAGTCTTACTGATATGAGAAATATAACAGGAAATGACAATTTAATAGAATAAATAAAGGATGATTCTTTTAACGCTAGAGACTCAATTTCTCTTAAAATTATTAGTTTTTTGAATATTTTTTTTCTTATTTTATTAATATATAACTTATAAAAAAAAAAAAAATAATATATAATGCATTTCCATTTATCAGTTATAAAATTATTTTTAGGTTCCTCCCTTATATCTTATAAGGGTGTGAACTTTATTTTTTTTAATGGCAACATACATATTAAGGTACTTATAAAATAGTAAATGACTTAATGAAGAAAATAAATGATCGAGTAATCAACCAGTTAATATAAGAGTATATAAATGTAATCAAGTAGTTTATGATAAACACTATATTTTTTCTCGTAAAAAATATTTTTTGTAAATAATTGTAAAATTAAATAATTTTTTTTTCTTAAGGCATCAGTGAGAAATTGTTTTATTCGTGGATCTGTAGTACGCTATGTACAATTACCTGCAGATGAAGTTGACACACAATTGTTGCAAGATGCTGCACGTAAAGAAGCAACTATTGCTAGATAATATTATTGAAATGTATTTAATATAAGTCATTTATTTTTAAGAAAATATAAACTAATAATTAAGTAAAAAATAAATCTGTTTTTATCCTTATAAATAATTATGTATGAGATATTCTTTTGCATGATTAATTTATTGCTAAAAATAATATTTATACATACTTATATTATTTTATTTGAAAATGTTTTGGTATTATCAGCTTAATTAAAATACATTGTCTACAATAATTGTTACAAGTTAAAAATTGCTTTGAGATAATGCAAACTTAATAGCTATTTAAGATTGAATATTAATAAAATCGTTACAAAATTAAATCTAGTTAATAAAAAAAAGTTATTTTGAATATATTTAATATTAAATATTTTGATTTTAATATTGACTATTTTAGTACATACACATGTACTATATTTGACTAAATGATAATCTTACTAATCATTCGTAATTCAAATATTATTTAATACAGAAAATTTTTTAGTTTTTCTTACATTTAAATTTTTTCTTACTGTAGGAATTTATTCTTATAGTTGATGGAGTAGTATTCACTTTTAATTAAATTTAAAATTCAAATTTTTTTTATAAATGTTATATTATATTGTCATCTACGTGAAATCTAATAATTGATGGTTAACAATACTAGTAATACATTTTACTGTATTAATAAATATATACTTTTATGAAGTATAAATGTATATTTTTTCTCACAAATAATACTGAAAGATATATTATCTTGTGATTATATTTATTTAAAACAATTATAGTAGGTGGAATTTTTTTCACATTATCTTATTGAAAAATCAACCTGATATACCAGGTAATTGTGAACATTTTGGAATAATTAAATAATTTGATGAAAAACTACGTAGTTAACATATTGTTAACAATTATGGGGCTTAATATTTAAAACAAAATGTTGACTCTAAGCTAGGTTTTAAGGAAAATTTTGGTACTCATGATTCTGAATTCAATATTTTTTTTATAGTTTTATGAATATTTTTTAGGTATTCTAATCAAAACAAAATACATATATTGCAAATCAATGTAAATTTTAAAGTAATAAATAATAGCAATATTTAATGTAATGTATTTCAATGTAATAACAAGATTTGTATTTTACAACAGATGCAAGATTTTAATAGATAACAAAATATGATTTTATTTCTAAAAATCTTAAAAATAAATGCATTTCAAATCTCATTCTGATAAAAATTTTAGGTTAATGTAACTACTAATTTTATATTATTTTAAAATTTGCATAAGGAAAAGTACATGGACACACATTAAATCTAACTTATGGTTATTGTATCCAAATTAAACAGGTCCTATTAAACGCTTGCAAACCTAATGGAATATATATGTGAACTCCATTAGTTTTATCTAGCGCATTACACATCAATATTATTTATTTGATAGAATGGAGTATTTATAGATATTTTAAAAGTAAAATTACCAAAATCTGGTATAAAAGAAAAATTTTGTAAATGGGTGTACCTTAAGAAGTGAAATTAATACTAATTTTATTGTTGTCATATTTAATTTTAGGACTTTTTGGAAAGAAATTGACGTTTTCGTGTTAAATTTTTTATACAAATGTAATAAATATTTGTAAAATTGAAAATAAAAAAAAAATAGTAGTTTAATAGTTGTAACTCAAAATACTTGACCAATAATCTGGGTGTAAAGTTTTGATTACAATTATGATGGTATTTAATTAGAATGTTACATGAAATAAAAACGAATTGAATAAAAATGTAATATTTAATTATTATATTATAAACATTGTAAAATAATCATAACACATATAACACTAATAAATTCTCGACTCAAGCAATTATTTTAATTAATTTTAAAATTCATAATTTAATGATTTTTGTATTTTTCTAACTTTTTACGTACATGTTATTTACAAACATAAATTTAATCTCATTGAATTGAGGCTTTTAATGAATTTTGACGGTTATTACACAATATCACTGAATTAAAATAATTCTATACAAAACTGCCGAGTTCTTAAACTTTACAAGTAAAAAAAAAAAAAAAACAATTATACATAGAAGACAGGGTCAAAGAAGAACAAAAATGGGATGAGCCGAAAACAACTTGAAAGAAGTTGCGCAAATTTGATACATTAGTGTTCATTGCTACTAAAGTATGAATTTTGCATCAGGTACAATTTATCAATGGGATTGGCCTGTTGCCCCTGCATGACGGATGCAGAACCAGCGTGATGGTGTTGCAAGCCATGGTGGGTACCATGCACGACCGATAGATCCAGCGACATTGTGTCCGAACCGATATCATCGGCCGCTGTGGTGCTACCGTCGAGCGACACATCGGAACTGCAGAAACTGTCTTCGGAATGGTCACCGGCAAACGTACCTGTAACCAAACGCAAGTGTGATCAGGTCGAAATAGTTATATTTATAATTTACTAATTGACTAAAGTCATTCGACGCTTTACTTACCTTCGGGCGAGTACGGATTGTTGGGGTTGAGCGGTTGACTGTTCTGATAGTTTGAGTCGCTGCTATCGTGCATGCTCAGAGTGCTCAGACTTAAATAGTGATCTACGAAAAGACAATAGAGTTATTTTTATCATTAAACGAAAAAAGCTCTAAAAACTTACCTCCTGAACAGACACTAGACGCAGTGTTGGTTGCATGTTCTGTGTCATTTTTGTCCGCACTGTTAGTATTGTTATTGTTGTTGTTCCCAGAGTTTTTGTCGTCCTGTTTGCTTTTCCTTTGAATTTTTTTAATTTTCGCCCTCTGATTTTGGAACCACACCTGGACCACTCTTACGCTAAGACCCGTGTCCTTGGCAAGAGCTTCACGCACTTTTCTACACGGTTTTGGACTAACTTCGAATGACGCCTTGAACTGTCGTCGTTGCACCGAGGTTAATATAGTTCTGGGTCTTTTTGGACCACGACGGCCGTCTCTGGGTCTACAGTTTTCATCTACCGACAGATTTTCGTCCACTATAAAATAAAAACAGATATGATTAATTTTTTTTTGAAAATTCTCTTCTGCTTTCTCTTTATCACAACTACTTGGGGTCGATCATCTCTATACTAAACTTCCACTTGACATGATCTTAAACGACATCTATACATAAACAAACAGTCCTCATATTACCTCCAAGTTTTTCCAACCATCATTTTTTTCGATCTTTCTTTTTTTCTTCTTCTTCCTTTAACACTTATTTCCATAACTGTTCTTACAGCTATCAATTTCTTTCTCCTCATAACATGACCAAATCATCTATATCTACTTTATACACAATCAACGCTACTCCTATGCTTCTCTTGTATATTTATTTCTTATGCTATTTTGTATTTTTATCAGTCCTCTACTCACTTAATTAAGTATTCTTATCTTTGTCACACTCATTCTCTGCTCTCTTCTTGATCCATTCGCACTTAATCCTTTGCCTCACCGCAACCTAGACAATACCACTATTCCATCGCGTCCTCGTTTATTGTTATTACTTTCTTTATTTCATCGACTCGTGTTCTCTTCATCAAGCTTATACTATACATATATACTCTTTCTTATTTCTAGTAATCTTTAATCTCTTTAATAAAGAATTAATTTCCATACCTCAAGCTTTTGGTTAACTTCCTCAACATTTTCCACATTTCCAATAGCACTTCAGCAGGTTCTATTGTTTTTTTCTATTCCATAGATGACACAGCCATCTATACTTACTTCTCACTAATTAAACACATCAGTTTTTCATTACATAAAATATCTTCTAAAGCCTATTTTGGATACTTGTTATTCAGTAATTTTTCAAATTATCCTTTCTATCTTTTTTTACGCCCTCGTCATTTTTTATACACTATACATTTTGAAAATACTTGGATCGTTTTTTTCTAACTTTCGCTAAATTATAAATATCTTTTTCACCTTCCTTTGTTCCTAATTTATCATGTTTCGATTCTTAACACAAACTTATATAATCTATCCAATATTTTCTCCTTCTACTATTCTTAAAACTTCTTTTTCTTATTCGTTTAATTTTCTGAACTTTATTATGTGAATTCTAAAAAAAAATATTTAATTAATCCATACTCTTACCGATTGTCTGAGGACTAGCCACTGACTGTTGCATAAGGAAAATTTCTTTTTCGTAGTCCGTTCTGCAAAAGAGCTGACCGCCACCAGCCCTGACCACGTACTGTTGTCCTTTTTGAAGCGGTTGCATACAAGCTACGCATGCAAAACAGCCCACATGATAAACATGATTAGGCCCAGCTCGCATTACTAACTCTCTAGGACTCAGTGAATCGCCACACCTGCCGCATTTGACGCCAAATAACCTAAAATCGTAGAACTTGAAATTTAAACGGTTTGAGGCTTTATGGTCAGATTATATTATTCAACTTACCTTTCGTAATCGTTTTTGCAGTACAATCCGTTGTGACGATAGTAACATGACGTGGATAACGGGATGCCGCACGCAGAGCATGTGACACACTGTTCGTGCCAACTGCTGGAACCTACTCGCATGAGAAATCTGTCAATAATCTTTAGGCCGCATCCTTCACAACAAGCTGGACCATCGCAAACATTTTCCACTAAAATAAGGCAAAAATTAAGTTAAATAAAAAATGCTCGAGTAGAACTCTTAATCTCTAAAAAAAAAAAAAACACATTTTATAAGGTTAGAATAATTAGTGAGTGTATTAATTATAGATTGGCAATCTTTTTAGAAAAGAGAAATTTTCTATTATTTTTTATTATGTGAGATACATAATTTTTTTTTTATAAGTTGAAGTTATTGAGATAAAGTGAAAGTAATAAACATTTTTAACGTAATAATTCGATGTCCGTGTTCAAAATTTCATCCATACGTTATTATGACATTTAAAATTTTAAAGTCATCGAAAAAAAAAATAGTCCACTACAATATTAATTCTTTTACACATTTTGTTTTAAGCATAACAACTAAATTATACTTATAATTAAGTTTTCAAAACAAAACCGCTGAAATTAATTATTTTAAATATTTATAGTTCTAACTGATGTGTCTACATTATTCTATTTATTTAAATAACTCTAAAATTATATTTTTTTATATTCTAAGCGTTAAATTTTTTTAAGACGCATTTAAATGGTAAAAATATAATGTATACAGAGTGATTTTTTTATCATTACTCACTCAATTACTAGCAGAATAAATATAATTTAAACATTTTTTTTTTTGGTTTTCTTTAGTTACACATTATTCTTGAATTATTAACTATTTAAAACTTTTTATGTTCATCCCTTATGCCTTGCAAAGGTGTCAACTTTGTTTTTTTAAATGGGAACACTTACTTTGAATTTAATAAAATGTTTGGAGTTTTAACTAAATAGTAAATGGCATTTGAACTTTTAATTAGTTTATTAGATTAAAGTTTCAAATTTTTGAGTTAATATACATGTATAATACACAAGGGATTATAAATACAGGTAGCTAATTGGATTATTATACATTGCTGTCACAGTCACGGATTGTTTATTATCAATTATGACTATCAATACGTTCTGTATTGTCAGTTAGTGTATTTATAAACTCGCAACAATGTGCCTTACCACCATTGATAATAACAATGCTGTGTACCTGCTAATATCGATGTCATAAAAAACCAATTAGCTACCTGTATTTGTAATCCCTTGTGTATTATACATGAATATTAACTCAAAAATTTCAAAATTTCAAACTTTAAATGTTTATATATAATAAATAAATAAAGTTATACTAAAAATTCAAATGCCATTTACTATTAAATTAAAAACTCAAACATTTTATTAAATTCAAAATATGTGTTCCCATTTAAAAAGCTTAGTTGACACCCTTGCAAGGCATAAGGGATGAACATAAAAAGTTTTAAATAGTTAATAATTCAAGAATAATGTGTAACTAAAAAAAAAAAACAAAAATAAAAATAAAAATGCTTAAATTATTATTACTCTGTAAGTAATTGAGTGGGTTATGATAAAAAAATCACCCTGTATATATATATATATTCTTTTTCTTAAAACAATTTTCTAAGTTTCAGCTGCATAAAAAATTCGTAGAGTGCTATGTTTAGTTGGAATGTGACAATACATGTGTGTTTTTTGTTGAAGCTGAAATAGGCGTGTCCTATTCCTTTTTTTTCTCAGATAATATTTCTTTATACTCGCAACTAATTTACAAATTGCGGTTCTATTCTAAAAATAATCAATAAAGATAATTGTAATTAAAAAAAAAAATGTAGTAATTGCTTTTAAATATTTAGAAATTATTTTTATCAATAAATGAAGAATATTTATTGAAGGCAACCATTTAAGTGAAGTGAATTAATAACCGTGTACAAACTCTGAAGTAATATTCATGAGTAACATCCGATTATATATATTTAAACGATAATATAATTTAATAAAATGAAATAAGTAATTACAAATTTTCCAAGAGAGTTTTCAGTAAAACGAAACTGGAATAAATTATTACATTGAAAAATAAATAAAAATATAACTATCGTAAACATAATATAATATATTAATAGTTAATATAATATATTAAAAAAGAAAAGAAAATGGACAATATTAAGTTGTTTAAAAATGTGCGAGTGGCCAGTTAAATTTGAATTATTGCATACTTATTAATCATTCTATACATCACGTTCAATGGCTACAATATATTATCAAAGTAGATGTGAACAATAACTGTTGGAATAGCTAAATAAATGGCTGAATTAACTGAATATTCCAACTGTCTTAATTGCAGTTATCACTATATTAATCTTTTATATGGTTATACTAAACGTATTTGTTCTGTGCATTACTGTGGACTATTAAAATTGTCTACTCATTTCACATTTGATTCTATCTAAGGTTAGCCTAGTATATTATTGATAATTTAAAAAGAAGAAAATTAACTTTTGTTGGCAATTATAGGCTATAGTTGTTTACGGATATAGATATTTATGGAAAATCCAATTGAATTTAGGATAATATAGAAGATGAATAATAATATAATTAATGTTCAACAGGTTCAGTGCTTAAAGATGCATTTTGAAGTCATGTGTACTTCGACAATTTAAGTAACTAGGTAGGTTTTCAGCTGTCTCACCAAAAACAAGTCGCCATGAGTTTATTCGGTTAAAATCAATTCAACCTAAGAAAATTATTTGTATTATCTTTTCAATCATACCAACATTTGTAATGAGCACGTTGTTCCTTAAAGAATGTTCATAATTAACCATAGCTAAAGCTGGCGTATTAAGCTTTTGTATAATTTAATATGAACTAGTTAATTACTAGTCATTAAAAAAATAACAAAGATTGTGCTTACAGCAAGTTTCATAGTCATTGTATAATGCAAACTCGTACATTAAATAAAGCGTCATTAACACCCTACTAAATATCCCCACGCGATTGTTCAAATTACCCAAACACAAAAGTTTTTCAATAGTAAAACAAAAATATTACGTATTAAAAAACCCAAAAATACAATTTTAGAACCTTTAATAGGCTCATGTTTCTTTTAAACACAATCAATTTTTGTCCCTTATATAATTCAATGTCAAAGAAAATCTTTTGTTATCTAGTTAAAAATTTAATTTATGTAATAAGAGCCATTATATTAATTTTTCTAAAAAGTAAAAGTTGTTTGTCTATTTTTTTAGTATCTAACCCGTAGAAACTAAATCATATTTAGTTTCAAAATGGAAAAAATAAACATGTGCGATTCTTTTGATTGTTTATGAGATTTTATTGATACATGTATTTAATTTGAAAGTGAGTACTTACAATTGGACAGTCTGGGAAATCCATCCATGTCTCTAACGACGTGTCGATGGAGTATGTCGAGCATTGTTTGAATGTTGTCGTTTGCTGGACGCGACTGAAGTTACATAAACACGTCGAATTTAAAAATTTGGCACACCGTTGGGACTCTATTCGAATTGTTGTTCACGCACGTTCGTTTTTCAAGTTGTGCACAGCGGCCTACGTGCGACAAGCCATCACCGCTAAAGGCACACTACACCATCGACTTGGGCCAGCGGGCGTCTATGGCGCACGGGAATACTGCGGTGAACGCCTCCCGTTGTTATAGTTGGTTATGGGGACGACCCATCGATCGGCTGTCCGTCCAACCGCACCTCACGATGGTAGACCCGCTCACTTGCCGGGGTGTGTAGCCCGGTACGTCGCAACAGTGTGCATAGAGCGGCGGCAGTCGATGATGGGCGCATAGGAGTGACTGTCAAGATGTGAGTATGTGTGTACGAGTACACAATTCTTCTCACCCGTGCAATGTGTGTAAGTATGTACTGACGTATGGATAAGTGTACTATGTACATCTTACACTTTATACATATTCTTTTATTGACGTTCTCCCTAAAAGCGGTTTGGCATTACAGTCACCTTCTATATAGGACCTGGCGACAAACATATACGACGACGCCGGCACTTATCGCCACTTCAGTTTTAATATTACTTAATAAAATGTTAAGTTGTTTAGCTCGCTTTGATGTGAATTCTGATACACAACGACACCTCTTCACTATCATCTGAAAAATGTTACCAATTTCGTTTTATTCCAAAATACAAACATATATTTTTAATAAAAATTTATCTGTTTTTTTATTTTACAGAATAAAATAGATTACTTTGCTCTCGAACTAAGGATCGAAAAATGTTTAACTTTAACAAGTTTAAGTATATTATGTAATACAATATGGTAGGCGTATCATTTTTTAATTCAGAATAGTTCTGGGCGATTAACTATAAATCAAAGTTAATAGTAACCTACGTTTTAGAATTTTCAGAAAACAATTTAATCCAATTCCATTTTCACCCAATTAAAATAGTATTAACTTAGGTTTTTTTAACTTAAATATATAATACATGTTTAACTAGCTATTAGATATGTTATATACTTAATATGTTTAATACATAATAATTTCATCTAAAAAGCAAAATACTTTATTAATAAAAGAGACGAAATTGGACATTTTTTTTTTTTAATTATAGCAGATATATGATTAATTTCTGAAAATAAATAATTATGATATATTTTATACTTTTACAGATATTGCGTGAGGAATAGTTAATTAATCACTTTGTATTTAACTTACAGGAAGTCTAATATGTTCTAACCACCCTTTTGATATAATTGACACTGTAATTTTCTTTTCTTATAATTTTTGCTTTTATAGACTATGTTAAAAATATATTTTTTTATTATTTGTTTTAAAATAAAAAAATATACAAAAAATTTTTTAAAAAGTTTAAAACAGCCATTTATAGCACATTTTTACAACAAATTTTGATGGGTCAATAACAACCCTAAGGTAAGTTTTGATTTACAAGCATTTTAATTTACAAGAGTGGGGATGTAGAGCGGAAAGACTTGTTTTTTATTCTAGCCGACTGTGCATATAATAGGTATGTGCTCAGGTAAGTACAGCTTGTACTGGTATATATTTATAATGCTTACTCCACCTGCGTTACACACCCACTCTATGTGTTAAATTTTTTTAACTGAATACTTATCATAATGGTTTTATCGATCTATCACAATTTTTGAAAGGGTTAAAAATGGCCGTTTTAAAATTTTGAAAAATATAAAAAAATGTATTTTTATTATTAATAATAAATAATTAAAAATATGCTTTACAAGTTTCTAAATGCAAAAATGTAAATAAAAAATTTTACAGCAAATTGTTATATTATATAATATTTAATTACTGTATGTATTAAAAACAATATAATGTTTGAATTGTTAAAGTACTTTTAAATATAAAATACTAGCCTTAAAACAAGATCAAGGAAATAATTATAGGCTAACACAACGAATTCATAGGTTTTGCACCAATGCCATTTGTATAAAATAAAAAATGTCAATAATTAGTATTAGATTAAAACAATTGCCCTCCATTATAGATTCTGGTTTTTGTCTTCTATTGACTTCAAAAATAGTTTTATCAGTTCATTCATTGTATTAATATAAATAGTAGTTCGTATATTTTAAGCAAATAATAATATTAAAAAAAAACCTTAAATTATTATAAAAATTATAATAGGTAAAAAATATTACTTGAAATAGTTTCAAAACAATTTTAGTGATTAATTAATAATAAACGCTAATATTGATATTATTATTAATAAAATGGATTATTTGATTCGAGAGTTATTTTCTTTTTGCTGTTTTTCTTCTTTCATCCTTTCATAGCCTTGGGTGGCATTTTCATGTCTTTCTTTGTTTTCAGCTTCTGTTTGAATATCATCTAGTCTTTCTTTCTCTGTTATTTGAGCATATTTGCCGTTATAGTAAGGTACATACTGAAGCACAGTACGCCATTCTGTCATATAACACAAAATGACGAATCCCGTGACACCGTATGCCATACCACTTAATCCCCTTGAAAATAAAAAAAACGAGCATATTAGAATGTTTTTGGTAGTTCGATTGATTTCCAAACCAACAAATATTTAAAATGAGTAAAATTTGCAGATTTATAAGAACGGATGTAATGCATAATTGGAGTGATCAATAAGCAAATTGTTTATTTAATCTTTCGCATAAGTTATGTCAATGCAAATAAGTAGTGGATCTTAGTGTAGAAATAAATGTAGTAGATTATTACGCTGATTGCAAATTTTTCAAACTAAGTCATTTGTTTTATTGAAAATAAGATTACAACAAATAAATAAAATGTTTTTAACATAGATAATGATAAAAATGAAAATTTAGCTCTGAAGCAAAAGTCATTTGTCATTATATACTTTTCAAAAAAAGCTTAGTTTTGTACTATAAATTATGAAAAAGAGGTTCACGATGAAACTATATTGAACAATTTCTCAGACTATTAATTAGTAATGAGGTATAGATAATAGGTTAAAGTTAATCTATACGTTATAATTGCTGACGTTCAAAACTTAAGTTTTAATATTGAGGCGTTCAATAGAATGTACTTTATATAACAACTTATTATTAATAATATTGTTATGAGTAGATATTGAGAAGATTTTAATACATGTAAATTGATTTAACGATTAATATTTCGCTCAAAAATTATCTACCCTCTTACAAAAAGTAAAAATAGTTTAATGGATTTAATTTAAAATACATAAGCATATAGTTGTTTTTTAGGTATTTATTCAAACCTCAAGAAGGCCGTACAATTTTTAATAGAAAATCATTTAATTAGATTAAAAAGTGAAGTTAATTTTATGCAATCAAATTTATATTATTGCTTTACTTACCAAACCTTCAAATATTTAACACTTCTGTTGAGTTTTGAAATAACAGATTTGGATCGATTCAATGACATTGTTGTGGTTTTGAACTGTAGTATAGTTACTGTTTTTCTAAACATAATATATGAATTTTGATTGCGTTGATTCTATAATTGAAATGGATCTGTAATAGAGTATAAGTTATTAGAGAAAACTGCGTAAAAATTATATGCATAGATTACTTAATTATTTTTTAATAACCGGCTAAGTGTTCCGGTATACTGGTATGAGTTTCTTGTTGTTGTTATGAAATTCGTCAACACATTATAATCAGGGATATCTAAAATGCTGCTAGTGTTCCAAAATGAAACAAAAATATGTTGTTACCATTTCAGATGGCAGTTTCACATTTATTTCCTCCATGATTACCCATGGAATTAACAACTTTATAGAATGCAACAGTCATTACTATTAATACTGTTAGATATTGTTTTTATTTTAATTACATTTGGCAGATTATAATTTTTAATTAAGTAATCGTATTACATCGAAAATTTAAAGAGTATCAAACGAGAACATTTTCGTATATTAACGTTATTAGCGTAGTTTCCAAGTAAGTAAAGTTCATGATTAAAAAAAAATATAATAAGTAGTATTCTTATACATTATATAAGTCAAATTATTAATTGCATAGACATAGGTGCAGCTAGAATACATTTGAGGCGATTAAATCATTTTTCCTCCTATATAAATATGTTTTTATATAAAAATACATACAATTTTTTTATTTAGGTAAGGGCAAATCCCCTAGTTGCATGTAAGTGCATAGAGCTTTTCTATTTATTACATGAAATTTAATTTTAGTGTTATCATGTGTTCTTATTTATACCTACAAAAATTATATGTATATATTTTCCTAGCTAAATATATATATTAGGTAGAAGATGTATAAAATATCAAATAAAATAAATAAGAGTTTTATTTAACTTCTATAGTTTTGTTATTTTTTTTTATTAAATAAAAAAATTCCTTTTTTTTAAATATATTTATTTGATAAATAAGAATTAAATGTATTCTTTGAATCGGATTGAAAAATTTTGACTTATTGAGGTTTGTTTTTCATCCTCAAATTGATAAAAAATTTATTTAATGGTTATTGGGTCTATGAATTATAGGTATTTTTTAGTTTTTAACTTAATCTCTACATTTTATTTTCGAAATGGAACAATATTAGTTTAGGTTTAATTTAAGACAAACTTCTGAAACCTCTTAGCTCAACAATATATTTCGGTCTTGTGTAGCTTATAAGATATACATATACAGCACCAAATATGCAGTATATTTCTTTCGGTAATTTTTTTTAGAGGCTTAGCTTTTTATGTTTTTAGAATGTATTTTCTTTTGTTCATTACTTATTTAATAATTTTTAACAAAAATAAATTATTTTATCTTACACAAGTGGTTAGGGTCTACTCTAAATAAATCTAGAAAATAATTGATGGTTTAAACTAATAAACAATATAATGACATAGTTATTGTACTTTAACACAGTGGCGTAGCCTAAATTTCATAATGGAGGGCTCACAGTAAAATAATCTACTAAATTATTTATTTTGTACATATTTTACATTTTTAATTCCATATTTTGGATCATTTTTTTTGGCTCATTACTTTTATTATTATTTTAGAGATGAATATTGCTATGAATAGGGGAAGGCCTGAGTCCTCTCGTCCCCTCGCTACGACACTGCTATTACATGCATATGTTACACATCACTAATAGTAACCTAATAAACACAACATTTACAGTTTTAATTTAAATATTTTCTAAAAATAAATTTTATTAAGGAAAACTTAAAAAAATTTGAACACTTTAGCCCTTCAAATTTTTTAATGTTTCACCTAGAAATAGTTTTGCAATATAATCCCAGAAAAAAGCGACCATTAGACACATCTCTCATTTCTATGGATCGTTGTTAAAGCAAATGAGTCTTTAATTTATAATGTATTACATTCAATGAGTGCGAAGACTCATAAATAATTTATCAAAAATCCTGTATTATAAGATATTTCTCTTTAGAATAGATGGTAGTTGTTTATGTGTTACCGTTTCTTTTAAGATCGGTCTTTTTCTTCGATATTTTCTTGAGGTGTAACCATTTTAATTAAGTTCAATCATTAATCACACGATATCCGAGGGTTGGAACAAAAACCGATTGTCCGGACGTGAAAAATCCGAAAGAGAAATTACGGCCGTTTCTTATGTACACACACATACACAGATTACTTTAGGGACAATGTTATAAGTTAGTTTAGCCGGAGAAGAACAAAGGAAAAATTGAAACGAGGGGAAAGAGAAAACTGTAGTAGTTAAATATAACAGAAGAAATATAAGTAAGAATAATTTGTTTTTGTCCGTTATAAATGTGCTCTCTTTAGTTTCATCGTATACAATCAAAAGTCAAAATTTATTAATAAATATTAATTTTAGGAAGTTTTAAAAAAGGAATATGTGATGTAAATGATTTTTAGACAAATACTTTGTGCTATATGTACGTTTTTTTTGTAAGTAGCACAACTAACTAGCGTTGATAAAATAATACTTAAAGGCACATAAGGAATTTTTTCATCTATAATGTTAAAATTTGTACTTAAAATAAAGATCATTAAAAATTATAAAAAAGTAAATACTGATCTAAAAGATTCGCCTAATTATGTACCTAATTTTAATTGTGATTTTTTGGAGGGGGATAGTTTCTTTGTAATGTGTTTTAATAGTATTTAGATCACACAGTTTTCGAAAGTGACAAAACTAAAAGCATAAAATAGTAGCCTTTTAAAAATTTATGTGATTTAAGATAGTACAAAAAGTTATTAACTGTATAATTCGTTAACTAATTTTATCTTTAATCTAAAATTAAACTAGGCTTTGAGTGTTCATGAGGTTTTCAGTTGCGTCTTTAGAAATTTTAAATGGATAAGGTCCAGATAATATTTAGAACGTTTAATAGAGAAGAGCTTCACATCTTCACTACTTCCAATATCATGTTTTTATGTCCATGAGTGGCTGGATCTATGGATCCCCAGTAAATAAGTCACTGTTTTTTTGTTGAATTGTATGATAATCAGAGCCCTTTCCAGAGTCATTGCGATGAATTCGTATAAAGGTCGTATAAATAATGATAATTTTAATAAAAAATGTTTAGGTTGGAGGGACTTTCCAGCATGGGTGGATAAAAGTCGAGACTTGCGATGTTAAATTCCAGTCAGTCTGGAATGTCGAGGGTCATCCGTCACGAGCAAAACGAGCTGTATCTAATATCCTCGTCAGGGGTTGCCAAAAGTCCACGACGTTTCGACGAAGGGTAGACAGCTGTTTCCGAGCTGTTAGTCACGCCGAGGAATTTTTGCACAAACATTAAACATCCCTAACACGTATTCATCGTCATGGTCTTTAAAGCCCCTATATATGTATATATATATAGTTGCATATAAAAACTAGATTTTGCATACAACCATGATAAAGTAATATGCTTTCGAATATTTTTTGCGTTAATGTAAAACGGTACATGGAATAATCGATAGGATTAATTAGTCAAGAATACTTCATCGATTTTCCGAAAAATATACCAACATTTTAAATAAAATTGTAATATTTTTATTTAACATGTTTATTTGGTGTTATTTTAAGTACTTAATAATGAATACTGGTAAAAAAATTTGTGAAAGTTTGTAGTCAATGTAATTGGTAAAAGCTCTTCATTGACATTAAGGGTTTAAGAGTAGTCAGAGGGGTCAAAAAATAAGTATTTTAAATGTATACATATTTTTTTGGTAGTAGTTTAATTTATTTATAAAACAAATAATTCTAAGTTATTATATTATGTTTTAACTTTATTTGACAAAAAATAAAAAAAAAATGTTGTGTACTGAGTTATAGCTATATTTGTTGGATCCTTCATCACAAATCATACTTTGCCATCACCAACATAAAATTTTACTGGTTCATAAAATCATTAATTAAATAAAAAAAATCATTAGTTTAATAGTACATTATACAGAGTGTTCAGTAAATAAGGAAACGAATTTCTATTGTACTCATTGTTTGTAACAATTTAACTGTTTCCTAACTTAGTGAACACCCTGTATAGTATTTAATCGAAGATTTTTATTTTGAAAATAAACAAGATGGATGCCCTCTGATCGTTTATTTACAGTTTTTCAAAGAAAAAAGCACCATTTTATTGTTAAAAAATATACAATTTTTAATAAAAGAAAAATTCAAGCACTAGTTATTTTATGCTTTCAATAAGCTGTATAAATTTCATTCAAATCCGTCGAGTGGTTTTTGAATCACTGAGGGGTGTTCAACAAATATAGCCATAATATAGACTACAACATCTTTATTTTAATTTTAATTTTTGTCAAATAAAGTTAAAACATAACATAATAACTTTGTTGTATAAAATAAGTAAAAGTACTGTCCAAAAAAATTATTTAATACTAATTCTTTACCCCTTTCACAATCCCTATTAAATGGTAAACATTGTCAGAATAAAGTTACCAAAGAATTATTTTAGTGTAATTTTTTTTTTTTTTTAAGTTTTAAGTATGCTACTTTTTTTTAATATTAGCATCAATAAAATCGAATTTTTATAAACGAACACAGTATAAATTCTCTTCTATATAAATTCGATTTTATGTATTATATAAACATAATACAATATAAATTCGCTCTTCTACTCCATCTGTAATATCTTTTGTCTTGCATTTTTATAAAATCTCATTTTTTTATTTCACCAAATCTTAAGATAATTATTTTAAGTTCAAAGAAATTGTAAATATTACACGTAGTAGCTCTTTCTTTGAAATTGAATATTATTTAGCTGTTGACGCTGTTCTTCTATTTTTATTACTTTCCTAATTTTTTTGTTTAAGTATAAATATTAGTGGTTTTCTTTTCATTTGCCTATTAGAATTTTTGTCGACTTCTCAATTAGAGTGTCAATAATGGTTTAGTATTTTTTTTTTCAAGAAAAATGCTTCGTCAAAAATGTTAGATTTTTGACAAAAATATTTCCAAATAATTCTTTTAATATTTATCTTAATGAAAAATATTATGGATGATAACAGTATTCTAATAATATTGTCTAGAAGTTTTGTAGAACAACTTAGTTTGTATTATTACTTTTATTATCGATAATTGTAAAAAATTTTCATAAATTTATTCAAATTAAACAAGGTGATGATTTTTTTTTTAACGCGTATTTATCTAGATGTCAAAGTTTTTATGTACTTACTAACATCATGTGTTTTAATAGAGAACGCGCATTTTCAGATTTATCCAGTAAAACATCATAAGTTTTAAAATTAACGTATGTTTATATGAAAATGTATAAATTTTAGACAATTTGGCACATCGTTAACTTTGCTGGTTGGATAAAAAGTAATAATAATAAAAATGAAAGAGGAATGAAATGAAAATACCTATTAAAATAAAATAATAAGTTAGCTGAGATGTTTGTATTATATTATGTATAGAGAAATATAAACCATCTTTTTCATGGGAACTTTTGAAAAATAAAAGTAGAGGGAAGGACTTTAATGGAGCTAAACCGACTGTTAAACAACAAACCTACTACTCCCTTTCCCTTCAGGTCTTCCACGAGTTCGTAGCCAAATGACAATTACAAAGGTTCTATCA